TCTGGCCTCTACCCATTAGATGCCACTTGTACTCTTCCTGTTGTGACAAAAATGTCTCTAGGCATTGCCATTGTTCCCAAGCATACAAAATCACCCCGGCTGAGAACCATTGTTGCTTTTTTTTGTTTTGAGACGGAGTTTCACTCTTGTTACCCAGGCTGGAGTGCATTGGGCAATCTTGGCTCACTGCAACCTCTGCCTCCTGGGTTCAAGCAATTCTTCTGCCTCAGCCTCCCAAGTAGCTGGGCTGGGATTACAGGTGCCCAACACCACGCCCAGCTATTTTTTTTGTATTTTTAGTGGAGATGTGGTTTCGCATGTTGCCCAGGCTGGTCTCAAACTCTTGACCTCGTGGTCCTCCCACTTTGGCCTCCCGAAGTGCTGGTATTACAGGTGTGAGCCACTGCGCCCAGCCCATTGTTGCTTTTGATACGTGAACAATTAAAAATTATTTTTGTGTGTTCTCTATACCCCACGAAGGATAACACATTTTTCCCTTTCTTCTTTTTAGAGGTAGAGGGCTCACTCTGTCTCCTATGCTAGAGTGTAGTGGTGAGAGCTTAGCTCACTGAATCCTTGAGCTCCTGGGCTAAAGGTAGTTTCCCGCCTCAGCCTTTTGCGTAGCTGGATCTATAGGCTTTACAGGTACGTGTCACCATGCTCAGCTCAGCACAACTTTCTTTGGCTCACGTCCCCATTATCTTCATGGCCCATCTGAAACCTACGCTTTAAAGGCTTCTCCTACAGTGCCCATTTGTAGTCTTGTCTTTTACCCAGGAATTCCTATAGCACTTAGGTTTGTATCTTGAATTTGACTCTGAAGTTTTTATTGTCTTGTATTGTCAACTTTGCCAGGATTCCTCACCCTGATGTATTTTCACCCCCTGCCCCCAAGTAAGGAAACAATGGGTTTTCACTTTTTTTTTTCCAGCCGTTCAATAGAATTTGTTCTGCTCAAGGGTTTTCACTTTCTAACAAAGAGGAAGGAATCTATTGTCAGTTGTTTGATCTGTATTGCTGTTGTTGATTTCCTTTGGATTATGGTCAATTTAGGCAGCTATCTGGGAAGAATTTTTTTTATTAATATACTTTTGACTTCTACATCTATAGCAGGGTGGAAGCCAACCTGAAGCACCCAGAGCTCTCTACAACTTTCTGCTACTTAAGCTCTCAGCAGAACCTCAGTAACTCCTAGATTTTTACCTTTTCAAAGCTGATTTTGAGTAGTTTGCTAACCTCTTGATACTCATGTTAAGTACTTAAATGTTAGCTGCCCCAACTGTTATGCAAACATTCTTCCTTCAGCTTCAGCCTGGGCACATCTCCAGGGACTGATGGGAGGCCTTTTTAGAATGATAATGTCATGTGCTTCATTTTATCTTTTCTGCAATGGGTGTAGGTCTTTCAGTAGTCAGTGTCTATGCTTTGCATTTTTGAGATTGTTCCCTTCACTTGTGTGAGACAAACAAGTTGTTATCTTTCTTCTCCTTATTGCCCCCAGGTCCTTGAAATTATTATTTTTTAAGAGTCTCCTCTCTCACCCGGGCTGGAGTGCAGTGGCTTGATCTTGGCTCACTGCAACCTCCGCCTTCTGGGTTCAAGCAGTTCTCTGTCTCAGCCTCCCAAGTAGCTGGTATTACAGGTGACTGCTACTATGTCTGGCTATTTTATATATAT